TTTCTCTGTGCAGCCTTGGCTGTCTTGGAACTCATCCTGTAGACCAGGCTGGCCTCAAACTCAGAGAACCCGAGTGCTGGGACCAAAGGCTAATTGTTACTGATGTTAAAGAAAGAGCTTTCATCTTTTGACTATGATGTGTGTTAACTTTATTAATGTTTAAGACGTTCCTTCCTAGTCCTAGGTGAATTGGGGAAAGGTGTTGAATTTTAGCACAGTGCTTTTTCTTCACTGATTGAGAGAAACCTGGTGGGTTTTTTTTTTTCATTTTTCTTCTCTTGGTGTGTGTATATATGTGGTGAGGTAAAGAGGAGTGCATGGCACATCAGGTGTGTGGAGGCAGTGTTCCCCGTCCACCGTTAGTCCAGGTATCGGCTCTAGATTGTGAGGCTTGCGTGGCAAGCACTCTTACCTGCCAAGCCATCTTGCACACCCCCGCCCCCAGGTAGACTTGTAAGTGGCAAGACTGTGGGAGCTACTGAGTTTCATAGTCACTGGCAGCAGAGGACTAAAGAGTAAGAGGCAGGACATGGAAGGACAACTGCAGAGTTCTCCATTGGAGAAGCCAGAGTTCTAAATTTTGGGTTGTTTTGTAGAGATGGAGAAAAAGTGTGTATGTGTGTGTGGCGGGGGTTAAAAAGTTAAAAGGAGGGGCTGGAGAAATGACTCAGCTGTTGAGAGCACTGGCTGCTCTTGTAGAGGACCCAGGTTTGGTGTCCAGCACCCACATGGCAGCTTACAACAGCCTGTAACTCCAATTCCATAAGATCAGATGCCCTCTTCTGGCTTCCATGAACACCGCATGCTTGTGATACACAGATATACACACACAGGCAAAACACTTATATACATAAAACAAAACCCATAAAGAAATTTTAAATAAATTGATCATAATTTTGCAAACATAGGTTTTTTTTTAAATATTTGCAAATATTATAACTGAATACAGGTTTGAAATCTCAAATTTTGTTGAGTACAGAGTCGAGAACAAACATAGCCAAAAGTTGGTGAGAGTGGAGAAGTTTATTACCTGCCACAGACAAGAAGCACAGGAGTCATTTTAAAGCATCACTTTTCTTAAACAAGTGAAGCATGAGGATCTTACTTAGGGTACACCCATATAGGAGCCAGCCCTAAGTGGGTGTATTTAGAAATGGGCTGACTCCTATAGAGGTGGAGGCCAGAAGGCATCAGATCCCATCGATCTGGAGTTACAGACCTTTGTGAGCCTCTATGTGGATGCTGGGAATTGAACCTGGGTCCTTTAGATGAGTAGCCAGTGCTCTTAACCACTGAGCTGTCTCTCCTGCCCAATTCATCTTTTAAAAGAAAAAAGCAAGAAAACGATGACATCTTAAACGCAGTCCTTGTGGTCTTTCCCAGGCATCCTCCCCACCCGTTCCTTCTCTTTTCCCTTTTTATCTGTTTTGCTCTCACCTCTCTATCATCAAGGAGTTTAGTTATCTCGCTGCTTGTCCATGTAGTCTATAATGTGCTACCTCCCTCAGAACTGTGGCGAGATCTCATTGATTTATTTCTCCCTAAAACAGCCTTTCCATAGTAATCACACGGTCGGTGTGGGAAAGAGCCCTGCCTTTAAGACATCTAAATTCTTTTTTTTTTAAAGACATCTAAATTCTAATGACTTAGAATTAGAATTCTAATTCTAATGATGTTGTGCTCATGGCAGCTTTATAATAGGAATTTAAAAAGAAGAAGGAAACGAAGCAGCACACATCTTTAATTCTCATCTTGAAGGCAGAGGAAGGTGGATCTCTTGAGTTCTAGGCATGTCTGGTCTATAAAGCGAGTTGTAGAACAGTCAGGACTACACAGAGAAATCCTGTCTCAAAAAAAACCAAAAAATCAAAACCCAAAACAAACCAAGTATCTAGTAATGGACTCAGAGTGTATTCTTCATTATAGCCTGCTAGACTGACTAGACAAGGCATGGTGATCCCAGCACTGGCAAAGGGGAAGCAGGAGGATAAGTTTAAAGTTATCCTTGGCTATAGGAGTTTGAGGACAGCCTAAGCTATGCAAGAATTTTGTTTTTTAAAAAAGTTTTCACTGGGCAGTGGTGGCACACTCCTTTAATCCCAGCACTTGGGAGGCAGAGGCAGAGGCAGGCGGATTTCTGCATTTGGGGCCAGCCTGGTCTACAGAGTGAATTCCAGGACAGCCAGGGCTACACAGAGAAACCCTGTCTCGAAAACAAAACAAAAAAAAGTTTACTAGATAGCTATTGTTATCAGTTACCTTGTAAGGGCTCTCAATCTCATTGAGTAAAGAAGATATTTAATTTTTTTCGTTTTAAAATTTTGTGTGTATGATTGTTTTGCCTGCATACATATGTGTGCATACATATCCATATGCATATGCATACATGTGTGCCTGGTGCCCACAGAGGTCAGAAAAGGGCTGGAGTTACAGATAGTTCTGATCTACCATCTGGGTGTTGAGAATTGAACCAGGGTCCTCTGTAAGAACAGCCAGTGCTCTTAACTGCTGAGCCATCATTTCTCTACCTCCTGACTACCACTACTGTACATCCCTCCTCCCCTTCTTCCTCCTCATTCTCATTTCCTTGTTCTTGGTCTCCTCTTTTCCTCCTCTTCCTCCTCCTTGTCTTCCTTTTCCTCTGCCTCCCCCTTCCTCTCCCTTTTCTTCTTCCTCTTCTCTTCTTCTCCTCTCCCCCCTCCTCCCTCTTTCTTACACTACAGACAAACTCTTAAAATGAACCAACACTTACAAGCAGGTGCTCTGGCTACAGCAAAGTTCTCTTCTGACCAGGCACACACATTGTACATATATACACAGGCAAAACTTTCACATATATGAAAAAAGGAACAAACAAGCTAAGTTGTTATAGAAAAACAGTAAAAAGGAGTCAGAAACTATTAGATTGCATGATTTCCTTTTTTGGTTGTTTTTCTAGTTTGAACTTGATGGTTTTTTGTTTTTGTTTTTGTTTTAAAGCCTAGGTTTCATTTAACTAGGTTGGCATTGAACTCATGATATAGTCAAAGATAACCTTAAATTCATGATTCTCCCATCTCCACATCTCAATTTCTTTGATTAGAGGTGTGTGTGTGTGTGTCTGTGTCTGTGTCTGTGTGTGTCTGTTGTATGTGTTTTTCTATATATGTTTGTGTCTTAGTCACTGTTCTGGTGCTGTGAAGAGACCAAGCGAACTCTTACAAAAGAAAGCTTTTGTTTTGTTCTTTTTTTATTTTTGGAGACAGGGTTTCTCCGAGTAGCCCTGGTTGTCCTAGAACTCACTCTGTAGACCAAGCTGGTCTTAAAGTCACAGAGATCCTCCTGCCTCTCCCTCCCAGTACTGAGATTAAAATCATGTGCCACCTCACACTACTAAGTTAGTTGTCTATTTTGTGTTACTGGAAATTGAACCTATGGCTTTGTACATGCTAGACAAACCTACATCTGTCAAGCTACAGCCCAGTCTGTGTAGCCGCCTGTGGCCACGGGTCATCTAGGTTCTCCTGAAAGGAAGGCTGGGAACGAAAGGAGGACGGAGGGCGAAAAGAGATGAACCCAAGACAAGTATTCTGATCAAGGCTCAATGCTTTAATGTTCAGCTCTCAATTTAAAGGGGAAGCCCCATCTCCACCACCGAACTCCTGCTGGCTCCATTCTCTTCGGGGCGGTGGGTGAGGGGAGTCCATCCGTGAGGGGAGTCCAGAGGTGTCTCAAGGCAAGCTCAGCGGGCAGTCTATTCTTCTCAGCTCCTGTAGCAGACTGTGGGTCTCCAAGGTGGTTAACACCTGAGTCCTATGGTTTGGTCTGTTGTGCTAAACGAGATCCTTCAGGCCTGCTCAAGGCTGGGGGAAGGGTACAAGTCTGTTTAATCTTTATGTTTAGGAAATGATATTTTTGTTTGTTTGTTTGTTTGAAGTTGGTCTTTGTAGCCCAGACAAGCTGCAAAACCTACAATACTCCTGTCATCTTGAATGCTAGAGTGTCAAGTTGCATCTGGCTTGTTGCTTTTTTAGTATTCCCTTCTCTCCTTCTCTGGGTATCGCTCAGTCTTTATGTTGGGGAGTCATTTGTTTTTAAATATGATTTGAATTTTTTACATATATTTCTTGTGCTTTACAGAAAGAAGGCCTCTCTAAATTCAACAAGATTTATGAATTTGACTATCGTCTGTATGGCCAGGTAAGTGCTGAAGTGTTTCCATCATAGAGCTGACATATAAGACAGGCATGGTGGCTAGCCTATGATAATCCTAGCGTTTGGGAAGCTGAGACAGGAGGGTTATTTTTAACTTGCAACCTAGCCAGGTGTCTTAGTTAGAGTTACTGTTGATGTGATGAAACACCATGACCAAAGCAACTTTGGGAAGAAAGTATTTGTTCAGGTTAGCTTCCATATCAAAGTTTATCATCAAAAGAGTCAGGACAGTTACCCAAGGAGAGCAGGAAGCTGATGCAAAGACCATGGAGGAGTGCAGCTTACTGGGTTGCGCATTGGCCTGTTTTTTTTACAAAAGCCAAGACCACCAGCCCAGGGGTGGCACCACCCATAATGGACTGGGACTTCCCCCATCAGCTGGATCCTTTGACCCTTGACCCCCTACGGTTTTTTGTTTTTAATAAAAAATGGTAGTGTGGCTGGGTGTTGGTGGCTAGTGGCCTGCCCTTTAATCCTAGCACTTGGGATGCAGAGGTAGGCAGATCTCTGTGAGTTCAAGGACAGCCAGGACCATAGAGAGACAAACCTTAGATAAATATGGAAGAGGGGGGTCAGGGAGAAGGGAGGGAAGAGAGAGAATATGAATGCTGGTTGTGTCAACATGGTTTTGGTTTTGCAGAGTTACACTTAGTTCATTTCTTCTCCATTGGCCGTGTTTGTAGTGTTTGTAGTTCTGTTTGTTGTTCTCTTCCTTTCCTTTGAATGATTTGGCAAAGTACAACTACAGGAAGACTAACTTCAGTTTTGTTGTTATTCAGAATGTTACTATGATAATGACTTCGGTCTCTGGACATTTGCTGGCTCATGACTTCCAGATGCAGTTTCGGAAATGGTCAGTATAATTAGTAAGGAAATAAGTTGTGACAAATGTTACAGGGATTTTGAAGCATGTTGATCTTACCATTTATAATGATAACTGTCATTTATAATAATTTATAAATATTAATTTATAATGCTAGAATCACCAAAGGTTATATGACCTGCTGTAAGTTTTTATCGTACCTTTAGAATTAACACTCACTTTGTGGTGTTCCCCTAAATATACTTTTTTCAGAGCAACATGGATTGTGTTTATTCTATTGCCGATGTGCATGAATGGAGTCCAGAGTTTCTTCTCTGCATCTCCTATTAATCTGCGTGGGCCAGTGGACAGTGCGCTATGTAGAAAGTCACAGCTTTTAATCCTCCAGCCAGTGTTCCTCCTTTTCTCTCTTTTGAGACATGGTCTTTCTCCAGTCTTTCTGACTCATCTTCCTAACTGGATATCTGGCATGTGGTACCATGCCTAGCTTTATTTGTTGCTGGGTTTTTGTTGTTGTTATTTTGGTTTTTTGTTTTGGTTTAGTTTTGAGTCGTAGTCTGTTATTCTGCTCAGGTTGGCTTTGAATTCCTGGGATCTGGTGGTTCTGCTTCAGTCTTCCCAGTAGTGTCTATGTTCCCAGCTTATCTAGGCCATTTCCTATGGGAGAGCCACATGTGAGCCTGCTGTGGCTACACATTCTTAGTGCAGAGGGCTCTCTGTGTGTTCTGGTAAAGGCGTTTGTGTTTTCTTTCTATTCTAGGCAGAGCTGTAATCCCCTAGTCCTCTTTGAAGCAGAAATTGAGAAGTATTGCCCAGAAAACTTTGTAGACATCAAGGTAAGATCTTTAGACGATATGGGACCCTGTGATTGAAACAACCAGAAATCAGTGGACTGAGTGATTTCTGTGTTTCTAATGCATTGGAATTTCCACTAACCTCAGTATATATAATTAATTGTTTATTTGTTTGAGACAAAGTCTCACTATGTAAATTTGCCTGGTCTGGAATGCACTAACTAGGTAGACCAGATTCATAGAAATCCATTTGCTGCGGCTGGGAATAAAGGTATACCACCATGCCCAAACAGTATTATGCCTTTAAAATATTCCACCTATTGCATAAATGAAGTGTTTTATTTCAAAGACAGGGTCTCGTCATGTAGCCCAGGTTGGCCTCGCCTTGCACACATATTCTTTTTGAACTCTCAAGTGCTGAGCCACCTCCCCAGTCTAAACTAAGAACCCAAAGAACTAAGTGAAGCCTTTAAAAGCGAAACTCAAGGAATATATATCACTAAATTGTTTGTTCTAGCCCATCTCACCCTCAGGAACAGAGACTTCAAAGTAAGATGGAGCAGTGTGGACTCACGTCTCTGCCAAGGGAGAGGGCAGGAGGGCAGTGCAGGGCCAAGGCCAGTGAGGACTGCTTAGCAAGTCCTGTCTTAGAAAAGTTACAAAGTGTGGTTTGTTGTTTAAAAGTTGATTGTCTTGAAGGGAAGGCCAGCAGAGCCCTCAGTTTGAGACCAGCCTGGTCTACATAGGAAGTTCTAAGCCAGAAGGACTACACAGTGAGACCTTGTCTCAAAAAAGGAAACTGTCAAGCCAGCAAAAGCCTGGTGACCTGTGTTCACTGCCAGGAACCAGCGTAGGGGTGGAAAGAGGGCTTGAGGTGGCTCAGTGCTGAAAACTGTTTTCTGTTCTTCCAAAGGACCCAAGTTCAGTTCCCAGCACTCAGGTGGGCAGCTCTCAAGTCCCTGTAACTCCTGTTCCAGGGGCTCCAACATCCTCGTCTAGCCTCTGAAGGCACCCACACGCCTGTGGTATATACTTACACGGAAACACACATAGATACACAAATGAAAAATATACTGAAAAAAAAAAATACTGGGTTGAAGAGCCGCCTCTGTAGTTAAGAACACATTCTCCTCTTTGAGTGAACTTGGCTTCAGTTCATGACACACATATCCGACCGCCCACAACCTCCAGTAACTCCAGCTCTAGGGAATTCAATACCTCTGGCCCCTGCCGGCAGATACATTCAAATGCACATGTCCCACACAGTAACATGCATATGTCCACTAATTAAAAATTTTAAATATTTTTAAGGTGAAAGGATAGAACTGAGTTCATTAAGTCCTGTGGCATCCACATGCCCTCCCCACACAATAATAATAACAATAATAATAATAGTAATAATAAAAAGTGGAGTGGAAGGGTAAGTGAGCCGGTCAAGGCACTTCGTTATGCTAAGTGGGTACGTTTATTAGAATGAGACTCGGGGACCAAGCCTGGGCATGAGCTGGGTTTGTAGAGTGCCTTCCTAGTATGTGTGAAGCCCTGCGTTAATCGCTATACTCTGTAAGCAGATGTGGTAGCACACATCTCTAATCTCAGCACGGAGGAGATGGAGACAGAGGAGACAGAGGTGAAGACTGTCAACTAGACAGTGAGTGCAGGGCCAGCCTGAGCTTCATGAGACCCGCAGGGCCAGCCTGAGCTTCACGAGACCCTTTCCCGGGAGGTGAACAGGAGGAATTCACTCAGTGACTCAAACATGGTCAGAACCACTGATGCCGGAAGAGCTGAGTTCTTCATTTCATCATGTTGGTAAAGTTGTGTGAAACCCCCAGTCTTCAAATGCACATGTCCTACACAGTAATATGCACATATATACTAAATAAAAATTTTTAAATATTTTTAAGGTGAAAGGACAGAACTGAGTTTCTTAAGTCCTCCTATGCACACACAAGTCTGGAGGATTGTACCACTCAGTGTACCATGAACAATTTTCTCTGCTCCCCCACACCCCGAAAAATTTGAATACTCCAAGGCCAGAGATGATCCTCAGTCAGATTTCTTCATGGACTCTTTGTTTTGTTCTTGTTTTTATTTGAGTGTTTTGTTTATTTGTGTTTCAATTTTGAAGCAGAGTTCCACTCTGTAGTCTAGGCTGGCCTGAAACTCACAGCAATCTACATCAACCCCCCAAATGCTGGGATTGCAGACCTGGGCTGTGCTACCTAGCTAGAGGTCAAAAGCGGCCGCCAGATCCCCTAGGACTAAAGTTACAGATGGTTGTGAGCTGCCATGTGGTCCTCAGAAAGAGCAGCCACTGAGCTATTTCTCCAGCCTTCTAAGTCAGATTCTTTAGTGTAAAGGAACCAAGTAATTCCAGTCTGTGCTCATTGTGCTTCCCCTGTAACTTCAGAAAACTCTTGAACGAGAGACACAGCACTGTCAGGCATTGGTGATCTGGACTGACTGTGACAGAGAAGGCGAGAACATTGGGTTTGAGATCATCCATGTATGCAAGGCTGGTAAGTCTACTACTGAGCTTTTCTGCGGGAGGTGGGGGGTATGGGGGGGGGGGGCTCTGTCTTAGTTAGGGTTTTACTGCTGTGAAGAGACAGCATGAAAGGCATTTCACTGGGACTGGCTTACAGTTTACTCTCACTAACATGGTAGCATGCAAGCAGACATAGTGCTGGATAAGAAGCTGAGAGTTCTACACCTTGATCCGTAGGCAGCAGAAGGGAGACAGTTGCACTAGGCGTAGCTTGTGCATATGAGACCTCAAAGCCCTCCTCCACAGTGACACACTTCCTCCTACAAGGCCACACCTGTTCTAACAAGACCACACCTCCTAATAGTGCCACTTTCTATGGGGCAAGCAGTCAGACACATGAGCCTAAGGGTCCCATTCCTATTCCAGCAACCTCAGGGTCTTTTTTTTTTAATTTATTTATTGTATGTAAATACACTGTAGCTGTCTTCAGACACACCCCATAAGAAGGCATCAGATCTCATTACAGATGGTTGTGAGCCACCATGTGGTTGCTGGGATTTGAACTCATGACCTCCGGAAGACCAGTCAGTGCACTTAACCACTGAACCATCTCACCAGCCCCCAACCGCAGGGTCTTTTAAGTGGGCTGTGGTCAAGTTTCTCCATTACAGTTCCTCCTGAACCATTCACAGAACTGCACATAGATATACACATAATTAAAAACAATAATAGTCATGTTTGTTTGTTTGTTTGTTTGTTTGTTTTTGAGACAGAGTTTCTCTTTGTCTACTTGGCTAACCTAGAATTCACTCTGGAGACCAGGCTGGCCTCAGACTCAAAGATTCACCTGCCTCTGCCTCCCAAGTGCTGGGATCAAAGGCGTGCGCCACCACTGCCCAGCTATAATGAATTTTTTAAAGTTCATCTTTTTAACCACCTGTATTCTTTTTATGGTATCTGACTAAGTTTTTGGAGCTGAAACTTAGAATAGTCAATGAGGTGGCTCATCAGGAAAGGAAAGAAAGACTGACTGACACATGTTGTCTTCTGTACACATGTGACATGCACGTATGCAGACACACTGAGTAAATAAGTAAATACGAAAAATTTAGGAAAGTGAGGTGTGATTGTACATACTTTAATCTTAACTTACAGGAGGCAGAGACAGACAGCTCTCTGAGTTCAAGAACAGCTTGGAAGACCTAGCACTTTAGGCTAGCCAAGGCTACATAGTGAGACCCTGTGTCAAAAACAAACTAGCAACAACAACAAAAAAAAAAACAAAAAACAAAAAAAACAAAAGTACTTGGGCCTAGAAAGATGGTTCAGTGGTTAAGTACACTGGCTGCTCTTTCAAAGGACCCAGGTTTGGTTCTTAATATCCACATGGTGGTTCATAGCCAAGTGAAACTCCAGTTCTAGGGAATCTGATACCTTATTCTGACCTCTGAGGGTGTGTGTGTGTGTAAGTGAATTTAGTTCTGACATAGTTAATGAATGGCTTTAGGTAACTGAGAAGTGTTGAACAGCCTATCTCTGCCTTAAAAAATAGGTCTTAATTTTCCCTAAAGAGAAGACCCTTAAAGAGTTTATGTCTGAATCCGTAACACTCCTGAGAGTTTAAATGTATGAGCTTTAAAGGACATGCATGTCCTATATTCTTTCCTGGAAAAACATAAAACTCCCCCAATAGAACCTTGGATTGGACCAGCAAGATTGCTCAGCAAGTGAAGACATTTATCACACAAGCTTGGCACACAACGTGAGTTCAATCACCAGGCCCCACGCAAAAGTGGAAGAAGAGAACTAGCTTCCTAAGCTTGTTCTCTGACCTCCTGAGTGCCGTAGTACACATACCATAGACCGCACAGTAATATTTAACATTTTATTATCCTTATCTTTGTCTCTCTAGCCCTCCTCTCCAAAATTTTGAGATCCTTTAACTCCAAGTTGGGGTTTTTTTTCCCCTAAATTTAAGCCAAAAGATTCAAATAAGACTTAAGTCTCAAAAGGTTCACCTAAAAGACCCCACTGTTATTTCTTTTTTCTTTTTCTTTTGTTTGTTTATTTCTTCTCTTTACATTCCAATATCAGCCCCTCCTCTCTTCCCAGTCTCCCCCCATGCAGCTCCCCCACCATTGACCCTCCCCCTTATCCTCTAAGATGGGGGAGCCCCCTGGGTATCATCCCACCCTGGCACATCAAGTCACTGCAGGACTAGGTCCATCCTCTCCACTGAGGCCAGACAAGGTGGCTCTGTTAGAGGAACAGATCCTACAGTTTACTTCTGACAAGATTTAAATTAAACGTTATAAGATCCTTTCTCTCTTTTCTACTTGTAGTCCATTAATTTCAACTAATAGGTGAAAGACAAACCAGCTTCTTGTACTGGTTTGCCTGGATGTCATGGTAGTTTGCTTTTGTGCTGAGATGCAGTTAGGATTAAGTTTGGCATCTGTGTTTCTGTCTCTTCTGCAGTAAAGCCCAATCTACAGGTGCTGAGAGCCCGCTTCTCTGAGATCACGCCACATGCCGTCAGGGCAGCCTGTGAAAACTTAACTGATCCTGATCAGAGAGTAAGTGACGCAGTGGACGTGAGGCAAGAGCTGGATCTGAGGATCGGTGAGAAGCCACAGGGGCTGCCCAGCACTTAAGGGCACCTTGGTGTTAAGTTATGGAACCAACATAGCTTTGTGGTTTATTGGTTCTTGTCCCCTTTCTTCCTCCACCCTCCTTTTCCAGGAGCTGCCTTCACGAGGTTCCAGACCCTGCGGCTCCAGAGGATTTTCCCTGAGGTGCTGGCACAGCAGCTCATTAGCTATGGCAGCTGCCAGTTCCCAACACTGGGGTTTGTGGTGGAGAGGTTCAAGGCCATTCAGGCTTTTGTGCCGGAAGTCTTCCACAGAATTAAAGGTAAAGCCCAAGGTCTTTGCTGTAGGATCTGCATACCCCCAGGAAGACAAGGAGGCTACAGAGCTTAAGTCAAGGCATGGTTATTGCTCTGCCTTGCTGCCTTTCACCTGCCCATATGCAGAATACTGCAAGGCCCTTATGTGTGCAGACCCCCTTGGTTTTTCATTGCAAGATACCAGTTTTCGTCTATCATGGCTTTTCTGAGACAGCCTCTGTTTGTTCACAGTAACTCATGACCACGAAGATGGGACCGTAGAGTTCAACTGGAAAAGATACCGACTCTTTAACCACACAGCTTGTCTTGTCCTTTATCAGTTGTGTATGGAGGTAAGGAGTTTTTTGAGAGCACTGATCTAGGAAACATTCTCCCCAGCAACTCTTTCCTGTTGCCAGAGTTGATCCTGTCCTATTCCCTGCTGAACTATGCTTGCTTGTTGGCTTAGAATGTATACTCCTAGGACCTGCGAGATGGCTCAGTGCCTGCTGCCAAGTCTGAAAACCTGAATAAAATCTCTAGGAAACAGACGGTGGAAGAAAAAAAAAAAGTGTGTGTGTGTGTATGTGTCTGTGTGTCTGTGTGTCTGTGTGTGTGTCTTACAGGTTAGGTTTTGTTTTGTTTGTTTTTTGGTTGGATGAGGTATCCACAGCACCTGATCTAGCCTGGCCACTGATAAGTGGGGTCTTTATTTCAAAGGCCGTCCTGGGGGAGTCTGAGATTGTTCCCTACTAGACTCGAGGCCTGAGGCCTGAGTGCTGACAGTCACCACAGAAGCTTGTCAGGTCTTCATCCTAGGGAGAGACTGCAGTAGGGCATGGCCTGATTTGTGAGGCAGTAGTAGACACTGATCTAATAGCAAGGAAAGCTGGACATAACAGTGCGTGCACTTGGAGGGTAGATGGGGGAGGACACCTTCGGTGAATTTGAGTCTAACCTGGGCTACATAAAACCCAGTCTTTAAAACAAAACAAAAAAAAAATTAAGTAGAACTTTTAGATAAAGTCAGAAATTTTAGTAGTTGGTAGCTGAAATTCCTCTCTGAAATATATACTTTCACCAGAGGTGAGAGTGAGCCAGCTAAGTGCATTCAGAGCCTGGACTCTGGATCTGGGGAGGAAGTTAAACATTTGATCTAACCTCTTTCGATTGCTCTTGTGAGGAAGTAAAATCACACACAAAGGAGGTAATTTTGGAAAATGATAAATGTTAGGGCAGAAATACAAGGAAAAGTCCTAGAATGTGTCGTGAGGTAGTGTGAGGCCCTTCTGGATGATGTGAGTGTAGCATCTGCAGTCTATCCCCAGGACCCACATGCTGCACACTGTCTTCTGACCTCCACATATGTGTATGGCATGCTCACGTTACCTCCACACACACACACACTATGAATAAATTATGGAATGATAAACACCTATTGCACTTCTAATTGGCTATGATGGCAACTAAGTAGCAAGTGACAGATTTTTGAACTCCTTGTAAAGAACAGCTGGTCCCCAGTCTATTGAGAGAGAAATTTGGGTTGGAGAGATGGCTCAGCAGCTAAGAGCACTAACTGCTCTTCCAGAAGTCCTGAGTTCAATTCCCAGCAACCAAATGGTGGCTCACAACCATCTGTAATGGGATCTGATGCACTCTTCTGGTGTGTCTGAAGAGAGCGACAGTGTACTCACATACATAATAAATAAATATGTAAATAAATAAATCTTTAAAAGAGAAAGAGAAATTTGGATTTTGATATGTTAATCTCATTAGCAAACCATTTAAGTTTCATGTTCATTAACAGAGTCTTGGAAAGTTTTACAGTCCGTATTGTATGATTTTTGCCATTTTATATCTTAAGTGTGAAGGTGCGTGGTGTCAGGGATGGAGCACGCTGGGCAGGTGCTTGACACAGGCTCAGATCCCTCCCGAGCCCTAATATCCTGAATCTTAAAAGTAAAAACAGGTAACAGAGAGCATGTGTGGGTAGGAGTCTTTGCCCAGATGCACGCCAAGACTGAGATTCCATCAGTTCTAGACCACGGACTTAAAGACTTGTGACAATGTCTCTCATTCTGGATTTGAGTGAGAAGGAAGTGGTGGTATCCACACTGTAATCCATACATAGAATGGGTGACATTACATGGGGTGCTTCCCTGGGCCAGGTAGCAGGGGGGCTTGAGGTTGTATACACCAAGCTAATGTGAGGTTTGTCTTCTTGGCTTTGTAGGATCCCATGGCAACCGTGGTAGAGGTCAGGTCTAAGCCAAAGAGCAAGTGGAGGCCTCAAGCTTTGGACACTGTGGTATGTTCCAGATAGGTTGTTCCCAGCACTAAGGAACAGTTACTTCCTGTTGTTGGGGCTACAGTTCTTCGTATCTACAGCCCAGTGGAAGGAAGGAATATCACCCATCTCAAGGCTACGCATGAGTGGTGGTGATGCACTTGGGAGGTGAGGCAGGCTGATCTCTGTGAGGTCAGTGCCAGCCTGGTCTACAGAGCGAGTTGAAAGGCTATATAGAGAAACTGTCTTGAAAATTTAAAAAAAAAAAAAAAGCCATGAAGAAAAGCACCAGGGAGTTAGCCTGAGTTAGCACAGCCTCTTTTTTTTTTTTTATTGGATGTTTTATTTACATTTCATATGTTGTCCCCTTATCCCATCCCCCACCCACCCAGGAACCCCCTATCCCCTCACCCCTCCTCCTTCTTCTCTTCGGATGTAACCCCTACCTACCTCCCCACTCCCACCTCCCCACCCTCAAATTCTCACCCCCTGGAGCATCCAGCCTTCATGAGGTCAAGGATCTCTTCTTCCACCTATGCCCAGCAGGGCCCTCCGCTCTTACGTATACACCTGAAGCCATGGATCCCTCCCTAAGTGCTCCCAGGCTGGTGGTTTAAACCCTGGGAGCTGTGGTTGGTTGGTATTGTTGCTCTCCTCATGGGGCCACAAACCCTTTCAGCTCCAATGGTCTTCACTCTAACTCCTCCATTGAGAACCCCATGATCAGTTCAATGGCTTGTTGTGAGCATCTGCCTCTGAATAGGTCAGACTCTTGCAGACCTCTAAGGAGACATCTATATCAGGCTCTTATCAGCATGCACTTCCTGACTTTCACATCAGCATCTACCTTTGGTGACTGCACATGGGATGGATACCCAGGTGGAATGGTCTTCAGACGGCCCCTCCTTCAGTTTCTGTCCCTCACTTTGTCTCCATATTTGCTCCCTTGAGTATTTTGTTACTCCTTCTAAGAAGGACCGAATCACCCCCACTTGGTCTTCCTTCTTCATGAGCTTCATGTGGCCTGTGAGTTGCATCTTGGGCGTTTCCAGGTTCTGGACTAATACCACTCATCAGTGAGTGAATACCACATGTGTTCTCTTGTGAGCTCAGCCTATTAATACAGGGACTATAGAAGGTTCTGAAGACAGAAGAGGGGTATGGTGTCCTATAGTACCATCATTGCACAATCACAGAATTGTATGTCTTCTTAGTCCTTTTAATTTTTATTTTTTGGGGGTGTGTTTTTTGAGACAGGGTTTCTATGTAGTCCTGGCTGTCCTGGAACTCATTATTATAGACCAGCCTAGCCTCAACTCAGAGGAGAGATACCTTCCTCTGCTTCCTAAGTGTGGGGTTCAAATCATGCACCACCATGGTCAGCCTTTGCCAACTGCCAGTAGAAAGGAACAGCTTGAATATTAGAAAGCCTCAAAGGATGTTTCCAACATCTAGGGGAAATTTCTGAGAGTTGAGTCATGTTCTCCAAGTGTGGTTCTCGGATTTTAGCCTCATTCTCTTGCCAAGCTACTTGTTAGAGACACAGATTTCAGGTAGGGGTGGCAGCACATGTCTGTGATCCTAGCTATCAAGAAGCTGATGCGAGAATTAGAGGCTAGCCTGGCCTACACACAAAGCTCTTGTCTTGAAGAATGCACTATCTCAGCACTGAGCGGTGAACCAGCTAATCTTGGACAAGTGTCAGCTGTTGCACATTGTCTTGAAGAACCTCCCTGGCCTCCTTAGGAAGTCAGGGTGATGGATGCTGCTGATAGCAGCATTTGGAATGTAGAGGCAGGAGGATCATGAGTTCAAGGTCAGCCTGGACTATATGAGGCTGTGTCTCAAACCAATGAGGAAAAAAATTTTTTTATTCATGTTTTTATAGTTTTTTGAGACAGGATTTTACTATGTAGCCCTGGCTGTTCTGGAACTCGCATGGATGAGGCTAGCCTAAATCACAGAGACCTTCACTAGATCTCACAGAGACCTTCACTAGATCTCA